TCTACTTTGTCTTCTTCTTCTTCTTGATGTTCATCCTGGGTGTAGGTAAACTGCTTCAAGAGTGATGTATCGCATGTTTCCTCGTTGGTATCAAATGAATCCTCCACTATTGGTGATTCAGCATTAGAACATGACTGGCCTTGACGATTTGGACACAACAGTCCAACTTTTTTACAACCACATTTAGCGCTGCACCCCTTTTTACAGTTGCAAAAAATTGTGTTCAGCAGTTTTTCCGGCGCAGGTGGGAGTGAAGTCTGAATAGGTTCTAATGTATTGTCGACCAACTTCCAACCCCAGTCTTTCGGGTCTAGCTGATAACCAAGCCACACTTGAACTTGGTAATATACCCGGAAAAGATGTTGATGAGCAGCAACTGAGGTTGGAGGAAGGCAAGCTAATTGCACCTGTTTCTTATTTTTAGTGTTTTTTACGAAATATGCATATGGAAACCACCTTCTTAGATAAGCAGGTGATTTCGGAGCTTTGTACATAATCTAAAGCAAATGAACTTCAAACGTTCAAGCCAGTTTCTATATACCTACACAGTAGGTTTAATGGACTGACGCCGATCAGAAAACAACTACTCCCCTGGCTAATACCACGAAGGGCGTTGGATTATATCCGACAGGCGCCAAGTGCAGGAATCTTCACAGAAAATTTCCTGCATATGCAATTGGCAATACAACTGAAAGAGTCGACCTTCAATTATGGAACGGGCACACTTGCAGACCGGTTTCGGGCTTATTAGCCACTCATCAGTGCAAGATAGTGACCATCATCGACCTAAAGTCAATGATATTGCACAATTGAAAATCGGAATTCTTTCAGATATAATCCAACGCCCTTCGTGGTATTAGCCAGGGGAGTAGTTGTTTTCTGATCGACGTCAGTCCATTAAACCTACTGTGTAGGCTTTAGATTGTTGACTGCCAGTCTTCAAACATAGCCCACTGACTAATCAGAAAGTTTTTTTCCTTATTCAGAGGAATTGGGCAAATTTCGGATATGCAGTTGGTTAGTACCTCGTCCACTAGATGGAGTGACATTTTGTGATGTTCGCTCCAACTTTGGAAGAGGAATGAAATACTCTGAAAGAATTCAAATGTTTTTCAAACATTTTAAAGACTGTTGCTTTACCCCTCCTGTAAAATGCAGACGTCGTATCACAGCCATTATTGCGTGACCGGTCTGCAAGTGTGCCCGTTCCATAATTGAAGGTCGACTCTTTCAGTTGTATTGCCAATTGCATATGCAGGAAATTTTCTGTGAAGATTCNCGACACATTCCAACAATTATTGGCGTGAACTTCCTTGTCCCTTTCGAAGAGATGTTTTTGCTCAGGCTGTTCAGCAAGATGTAGAGTGGTGGACATGCGATCAAGGCTTGCAAAATTGAGTTCATGTAGCAGTTATTACTTTGATTAGGCAGACCCTTTGGATGCAAACTGATTGCTCTAAACGTCGATCGTTTATGTAGATGAAAACTCATATCCTGTAACACTCTGGTCGAAGTTTCTGGAGTGATTGAAGGAGCACATGGGTAGATTGTTGAACTCGTTTTCGGCGGCCTGGTCAGAAGCGACTGTTGAAGGTTTCAGACAAAACATCGGCTTTATCAGATTTGAACAGACTTGTCTTCAATTTTGCTACAGGGATAGGGTTCGTTACTGCAACTGCGTTGGAAAATCTTTTGGGGACTGTGCGGGTTCAACCAAAGTACTAAGTTCAGCCTCATTTAGAATTATTTCCTCCTTTTCTGTCAAAACATTTCCGTTTTGCTGCGATCCTTTCACCACACTGCACATTCCGGGTTCTCGCACTGTCTGCAGATATTCGTATTCACTGTTGTTCGAATAACTATTAACTGCAGGATTCTGTTGCTCAAAAACATGAGGATTGGAAAGCGACATCGGAGAAAGAGCATTGTAATAGATAACGCTCGATTGGATAGGCGGATGCTTATTATATTTTGTTCATGGGAAACATGGATATTTCACTAAGAGTTTTGAAATGAGAAATTGTACATAAACATGAAGCTGCATTTCCCCTTTGGATCGAAATGCTGATTTTTTCAAATCAAGGAAGAGGTAGTTCTTGGGTCATTGTCTCTTTGGAGATCCTTATACCAATTCCACGAATGAACTCCAATGCTGAGGGGCCAAAGGTAGCAAATGTACCATAAAAAATTAAATTATCTTTTAGACACTTGTATTTTCATTTTTTCGCCAATTCCGCTGATCCTAGAGATATTTTGGGTTTGTCATCATCACGCAATTTGGAAACTTTTGTAACCAAATAAAAAAAGTTTCACCCAGGATTGGATGGAATTGTGTTTGAGACATTCATCAATGGTATTTGAAAGGCCGGAAGCAAAAACCATTCTTCCAACCTTCGGTATTCTCTTTGGAACGATACAGTTACATTTTAAAACAGCTAGTCTCTTGTAGAAGGATATGAGAGCTTTTCAGGTTTCTGACACATCAATGGTTTCAGGAACTATTCGGGTACTATTTTGATGTATTTTTGCATTGCGTATCTTCAAACCAACAAAATTCTTGAAATATTTGCAACAGGAATCGCAAAAATATGTTGACAGTGACATTGACACAAAATCTATGTATTGCAGTGGTTGAGTGTAAAGGAGAGGTTCTGTTTTCCAGCAATGGTATTCATTTTCAAAATGTTGCATGGACACTTACCGCCTCAATTTAATGAAATCAAGGTATAGATAAGAAAAATTCATCATTATCCTGCCAGAAGTGTGAATGATGTATATATTGATAGATGCAGGTTGTTTAGTTATAAGTTACAACTAATGTTTGAAGGGTTTGCCACATTGAATAAAAGACTCTGTATCTGTTGAGCAATTTAAGAAGAATATGTTGGAACATATAGGTACCTTCCATATAAATATGTAAATGGTTTGTTTTTTGTCACCAGCATTTTTTTTTCACTTTTGTTACTGTATATCATATAATTGTACATGTCTGTTGTTACTTTTTGAATTATATCTAGATTAATAGGTTTATTTGTAAGTATATTAGACTTGCGAAATGAAGTGTATTCATCAATTCATTCACAAAACCGCGACATGTGTTTCGCTATACAAGCAGAACTGACTTTGGGGGAGCTATTTTATAAACTTTTCATGTTAAAAATCTCACAGTGAACTGTCTAGTAAGTTGTGATATGAATGTTCATCAAGTATCGGCCACTTCCATTCAATTTTAGAACATTGTGACATTTCACCCCTTGTTCTCAAAATTTGTGCCACAGAAGCAACATCTGTCTTCTACAAGTTGTTTAACATTGCTTGCATTTAGCGTTTCAGAAATCTATTGAAAAGTAAAGAAACATATTCCAAGAATTAGATAAAGACACTACTCTCTGTGATTTGCAATGTGATGCAAAGCCTATTGATATTGAAGTCATTCCTCGTACATTCAGGAATAATAAATGATGAACAATATAGATAGGAGATTGTCTAGTTTATGTCACACATAATAAGTGAAATTTGAAACCTCTGGCTTGAAATGAATCTATTGAAAATACTTTCTCTTTCGACGCTCGTTTCACTAACCAAGTTAGCATAATCACGAGAATAGTAAGAGTAGTTTTATTCATCTCAAGATGAAGAGTTGACTCCAGATGAAAAAAATATTGTCTATAAAGGGACAAAGCTTGAAAAGCTCATTTTGGATATAGGAATCCTTGGTGGGATAATGCTCTCCTTTCTGTTGAACCTCAAAATTATAAGGGTTTGCCTTGAAGTGTGGTGGTTAAACACAGGAAGTTTAAATTCTCATTTATCATCAATTTGTCTGCATACCCTCCGATCAGGTAGGGACCTCTGTTACAGTTAACTACAAGTCGTTTCATTAAACGAATAATAATATTTTTATTACTTTTTTATTATTAGTCTGCGATTCTAGCAGAAACTTTTCAATGACTGTTTTTAAACATATACTGGTTGTCAAACTTAGGACATCTTGTTAAAAAACTAGGGCTCTTACAAAAAGCCACAGTTCTCTATACTTAGTTTTTAAATACACTTGTGAATAACAAAACATAAGTTGTTCAAGTCATTATTTAATTTACAGTTATACAATTCATAACATAAAGTCCTACCAAAATTTTTTTTAAAATTTTTGTTTAAATTTTCTCTCTGTTGTCAACATTTGACAGGATACATGACAACTTGAAACTGAGAAAATTATATCGGAACACTGTTCTGAGACAAAAAACTGTACACACCTCAGCAACTTTCGATGCTTTATTAATCTGAAATTAGAAAGCTTCTTTGGAGTATTGTTCTCGTGGATGGAGCCCCGCTCCTAAGCATACCCTGAAGCTGCTGGATTCCATCCAGAAAAGAGCCATCCACCTGATGTGAAACACGAGCATCACTTACAACCTTGATAGTCTGGAACATCAAAGAAAGGTTGAAGAATTGTCTCTCTTTTATAGATACTTTCGTGGGAGGTGTTCAAGTGACTTGGCACATTTGATTCCACCAAGAGTGGTATATATCAGAAATACGCGACGGACTATGGCTGCTCATCGTTTTGTGGTTCAACTCAGAACACCTCGAACTTCACTGTTTGAGAACTCTTTCATTTGAAGAACTGCGTTTATCTGGAATAAACTTCCTGAGAATGTTTTTCCAAATGAATTTAACCTTCACCAATTCAAATCCAACGTGAATTGCTATTTCCGCACAGGCACTGCTCTCACAGCGCCTTAATAATGTTTCTGTAGTACTTGTGTTTTGTCCTTAAAAAAACGAAATTACGGCCTAATAGCGGCATTCAAGTAGTAGTTCTTCATTCAATATAATACATGCAGTAAATCTTGCAATAATACCTCAAGAGAAACCTTCAGGCTCTTCACAGTATAATGTTGTTATGAGAAAATTTAATTTTGCCGTTTGTTGGTTATTGAAATTGAAATCCTTCAAGTTTGTATGAATACAAATCACATTTTTTTGTTATTTTCCAGGTGGAAGAGGATTGCGTGGGATGTCCTCTACCGTCAACTCCTGAAGATGAAAATATTTTGGATTCTGAAATGAGTGATGTTTTGAAAGCTGCAGTGCTAGGTACAGGTAGAGTAGTGAAGAATGCTTTTTTTTTTCACCATTGCGTATGTCTTCAGGTAGTATCATTTCATTGTTTTGATTTATTTTTGGTTTTCGAGTGTTTTTCAGAAAGAATTTTCATTTATTGTTTAGGATCTGAAATCCGAAATTTTGGGCGGTGTGGTTTTATGTTAGTGTTTGGATAAACATTTGGAATGGAACATTTGTTTCAACTATATCATCTTTACTTCTCAAATTTATCACAGTAAAGTCCATTTTGGAAATATTGTTCTGTGAACACCAATCTATCAAAGTGAATACCTAAATACAATCAATATAAAGAAATTTATTTAATAAGTGAATTAATAATAAGTAAAACTTGTTTGTTATAACATGGCTCAAAGTAGAAAAATATGGATTATCATATGGTGAAAATAATCTTATTGAGTATAACAAAATTCATTTATCAAACCTTCCAACTAGTTGTGGTTAGAAAAAATATGTTTATGTTCATCCTAATCATTTTATTAATAGTTTCCTTACCTTCATCCAACTTTTTCAAAATATATTAAATGTGGAACTTAGATATAACTGAAAGAACTGGTTACATGTTTCTTTTTTTTCATTTTGTGTCACATCAAATCATACTCATTCTCAAATACAAATAGGTTTGTTTCCATGCAATGTATATAACAAATTTGTTCCAAGCAACACGTTAAGTTGTGAATGTGATATCTCCTGCTAAATTTCGACCAATATCTGTAACTTTTTCTCTGTTTTTCCTTTCCTTGCATCGACGCAAATGAAGCAAGCCTACCGGGATTTACAGGTGATGATTTGGACATTTCGGCGCTTGCGCATAACGCCGCCTCACAGGCCGAGCATGTGGTCCGAAAGATGATACAGGCTGGTTGGTCGGTATGCCATTTCCGAAATCTTCCAGCCTGGTTGCAGGACAACGATTACTTGGTGTTTGGACACAGACCGCCGCTGCCTAGCTTCAGAGCTTGTTTCAAGAGTATTTTCAGATTGCACACAGAAACAGCTAATATTTGGACACACTTGCTGGGATGCGTGGCTTTTATAGGTTAGTATAAATTCGTATAATGTGTGATTATTGATTTAGAGGTAGTGTTTGTTTCAAGCATACATTGCAATGCAACAAGTATGTCACTCTCTTGTGACCCATGTGTTCAAGTATTTGCTACTTGAGGAAGTTATAGTATAGCGAAACACGTATCGTGGTTTTGTAAACCTTTTATAGTGAAATTGTAAATAAATACAGTCTACGGGATTAATATGACTTGATCAATAAAATAGAGAACATTACTCTACCAGACAAAGCAAAATTACTATCCCTTGATGTGCAGAATCTATTTCCCAACATACCCAACAAAATCAGCAACAATATTTATTCCTCTTCAAAAGGTTTAATTATGGGAAATACGTTAAGACCCTTACTTGCGGAAATTTTCATGGATAAACTAGAGAAGTCGATTTTTATACATCACTATTCTACCTATCCATATCAACACAAAGTAGCAGCTTATAATAAATAGCATGATTCAGAGATTAGTCAATGTTCCTATATCAATAGATAATTTCAATAAAGAACTTATTATCATCAAGGGAATTGCAGTAAACAATGGGTTTAAAGCTTAATTAATAAACAATACTTTCCAAAAAAATCTATGCAAAAGCGATTGGAGACGTTTTTCCTATTGATAAGTTAGATAATCGAAATCATAATTATAGAGCAATATGAACTATGTAAATAAGAAAACAAGTTCAACATATACAAATCATCTTTTAGAAGAAAATCATATCTTTAACGAAGAGTTCGAAATTTTACAAAAAGAAAATTAAGGTTTGAAACTGAATCATTTGGATTGCAAGGAAAATTAATAAACTTAAAAATGCAAACATTCTAATCAATGACCAACTGGATTTGAATAGATCACCATTATTGAACTCAATTTCTTAAAAAACCGAGGAAGTATTATTATTGACGTAGAAGTGAGGTAATATGCTTCAGGTAATCAGAATTGAGGAGGTACCTCAGGTATATAAAAATTGTAGAGGTTTAGGTAATTTGATGGAGGAAGTCCCAATTATAGTTACCTGTGATATAAATATTAGCCTAAGAAGCAACTTGTAGTATTCAAATCACTGTTGGAGAAGCTACTGTGTTAGCGAAACACTGAGTTTAGCAATATAATTTTGTTTGGCATGAGTCATGAGGTGTGTGATAGCTCAAAACGGTGTTTTCTGGTGTTGGATCACAATTACTTTGTTCTTGGTATCTGGTTTCAAACATCAAAAAGTTTCAATCAGTCTTTAGGAAAAATGAGCTGATATCTGTCTATTTCACTCTGTAAATGGATTTTTTATTCCTAATTTTATGGTTCCTAAGAAATTTTAAATGATGATATAGTTTATTGTACCAGAAATAAATCATGATTACAAAGCACAAGAGATACAGTGTCAAATGAAGTGAAAAAAATACGACCACAAATAATTGTATATATGTCTTAAAATATAGAAAAATCTTAATAACATATCTAACAGATTAAAATAGTGAATGTATCGGAGAAATCCTCAAAGTATTTTTCAGGATTAAAATAAGCTTTTTTCAACAAAAAATTCTTCACTGTTTTTATAAATTCAATAAAGGTTTCTATACTCTTGATTACGAGAGGTGGATAATTATACAGACGCACCACGCCGAAGCACGTGGATTTTTGATTTCTACAATGTACATTTGAGTACGAACAGTTCATCCCTAGTTTCATCCCTTACCGGAGAGGGGCAGCCCTTTCGAAAAATTCAAATGGCAGGGGGTGGTTAGTGATTGCTTATTTAATAGGGGGTTTTATTCTCTATTCAACCGTGCAAAGGAATTGAAACTTGCTACATTGATTCAAGAGTTATGATTGTTTAAGAATAACGACAATTAACGTAGTGCAATCACCCTTAGAATTAAAAATTCGGCTCTGTATGATATATGATATCGGTTTTGGTTCAGACGTCAAGTGGGACGTATTTGTCATTTGCATAGATATCAACTGCACGTTTTTGTAGGCGTTTTTGGATGTTTGAGGATAAATGGTCAATACAAGAAACTGATATCACGGAGAGTGTGAGTCAGTGTATTATACTAGCTGTTAGTTGTGTTTGCTATTCATCTCCAAACAATGGTTGCACCATGTGCGTTAAATGAGAAATGCGAAGCGATTGTTATTTTTGGTGAGGCTCATAACAATTATCATGAGGCAGTACGAATCTTCAATGAACGTTTTCCAGATCGCTCTATCGATAGACGTTATTTCAAACAGTTCATGGAAGAATTTTATGAGAACGTTCTTGGCGATCAACTACAGGAAAAGATAAACAAGTGGATATTATGAGCGAGTTTGTGAATAATCCGTCCTCATCGAGTAGAACTGATGCCTTGAATTGTGAGGTTTTGCAGATGACAGTTTTGAGAGTTCTAAAAAAATATAAATTTCGTCTCTACAAAATAAAAAATGTGCGTGAGCTGACGGACGATGATTCAGATCGTCGCCTAGAATATTGTGAAATTGTCTAACAATATATTGCAAAATCCGAGCTATTTGAAACATTTTTTTCAGTGATAAGGCTACTTTTTTGTAAACGGTCACGACCATAGATAAAATGTGAGGTACTGATCCGATGAAAATTCTCGACTTTTTCGCGAAACTTCAACCCAGTTTCCCCAAAAAGTTCATGCTTGATACACCATTTTAGTTGTAGAATCTCCTAATTCTATAGATATCATCTTAACTGCATAGCAACCAGAAGACAACTTTTTTTAAAATGTTGGTAAATATTCATCTAATTTGATTTTATTGTCAATTTCGATTCCTAAAGATTTTGCACAGGTTTTATTCTATATTATTTTCGAATTAATTGTCAAATTTTGTAAAGAGCACTTGAATGTCATTAAATAATTATATTTAATATTAAATGAAAGAAGATTCGATTCACGTCACTGTTCCATATCTTCTTCAACACTTTTTTAAGTCTTCAATTTTGGGACTGTTCCAGATGATGGTTGTGTCAACAGTATATAATGTAAAACTGCTGCCGTGATTTTATGTTTCTGTCAGAAATGTATCATTCTTAGTTCCACTAATGTTTCTATCATTGTTGCTATAGTTGGAATGAGAGTTATAGATCCATAGTTCAAAGGTTATTCAGAGTCACCTCCTTTTTGTAGTGAAATGATAACTGATGTTTTTAATGGCTCTGGAAATTTTCTGGCATTGAATAAGATATATATGAGATGAACTAATATCAACAATGCTTCATTTGGTAGATTCTCGTTGATTGGTATGGACATTTCATCAATTCCAAAAATATTTTTTATACCAGAAACTTAGTTCTTTCAGAAAAGTGTCATAAAAAATGAAAGTTTCGTTTATCCTTTTAGATTCAAGATATTTGGTGGGATCATCACCAGGTCTAAAGCTATAACTAAGATTTTCTGCAATTGAACAAAAGTATTGATTTAGAGTATTGAGATGGATTGGAACTTTGCAAGATTTTCCTCCTCAATTAATTACTTGTATTTGCCTAGTCTCTTTAATCTTGTTGTTTGACTTATTTATTTTGCTAGTGTTTTTTTTGCATGTTTAATAATTCGCCTATAAATTGAGGGATACTTTTGGAAATAACAGTGAAAGCTAACTTCAGTTGTGTAATTTCTTGGATAATGAAGACATTGTGAATAACTTGAAGATATATCTATGCCTGTTATGAGCCACTGGTTTTTCTTCTTGTGCTTTGTTTTCATTACTGTCATTGACAAACCATCCTTAAGAAGGAAAACATATAATCGACAGACAACTTGAACCTTGTTTGTCAAAAATAATGAAAGTCCCCGTGGCATTCTTTTGCAAAGCCAAGCTTTGAAATCGATTGTTTTTGAGTTCTAAACGTTTTATGACAGAAAACTCAGTGATAACACATTACAGATACTTGGTTAAACTTTTTGAGAAATAGTTGTGGTACATAGAGTGAGAATGTCTTCCATTCAAATGATTATCACCTTAATATATCAATAATAATTTATTTCAAGATCATCAAATCACGAAACTGTAGGAAATATTGAAATAATTGAAATTCGGAGATATTACATCATCACTACTAATGGAAAAATGGCTATGAAAAATACAGGTCTGTATTTCAAATTTCAAAGTTGAGAGTGCTACGAGTCATAAGACTTCTGAGCTCTGACTCAAACCAGAGTCGATTCAAAATCATTTAATAGTTAACGAAAATAAGCAACTTCGTCGTAATTCAACCCACTCTCTATATCTTACCATTTATGAGGTCCCTATGCACATACTCAAATTTGAAGATCCCCTTCTGTATAGGAATCAAAGTCCACAATAAGAGAATTATTAATGGCAGAATCCAGGATTGAATTAAAGAAATTTATACACGACTTTTTCCAATCAAATGTATATTTTTCAAATAGCTAATCACTTTTCCCATGCAATAGGCAGTAGATACAGACTTCTTGTTGGGATATATATGAGATATGTATGTATTTATTATGTTTTTTGTATTTGTTGGGTTGAGTTTTGAGTTGTGTGAGTTTTCGAATTTTTGAGTTGTCATAACTTTGTTAATAATGAATATTTTTTCATGAAATTTTGGTCACACCTGTTTAGAGGCACTCTGAATCCAGTGGCGTAGTGATTTTTTCAATAAAAAAATCGCTAATAATAAAAGGGGTGTTTCCATTAAAAATGGGTCACACTGTATAATATACTCACTCTCAGTAATATTTGGATTATTGTCAATAATTGAATAGAATTGGCCGATAATTTGTTTGGAAGTGGTTGACGATGTTTCATGATGAATTTCATTCATTAATTCGGACTTCCACCGTCTACTATGATTTCACTATGATTCGAAATCTATGAAAGAACATTTGAACTATTTGTTTGAAGGTAGTTCCATTATTTAATATGATTTGAAATCCTAAATCAAATAAAATTGAAAATCAAAATAAAATAGGTGAAATTAACAATTATATCAAGTAACAAACAACCCTGAAATGAAATTACAATAAAATGAAAATCAAGCAATGAATTGAAAATTGAACAATCAAAATGAAATAAAAATCACGTCACGTTTCAATTTTTGGTATCCACAATCATCATCACCCGAAAATGTGATTGTGGATACCAACAATGGAAACGTTGTGAAGTAACTTGGCTTGAAATCTTTAAATTGTGATTTCATTTCAGGGTTTTTTTTTGTTGCTTAATATAATTGTTAATTTCAACTATTCAACAATTCTATTTGTTTTTTCAGGGATTTCAAATGTTATGTTATATTAGACAATAGAAGTCCTAACCAATGAAATTCATTTGAACTATTTGTTCTTTCATAGATTTCGAATCAGAGGGGAATCATATTAGACAATGAAAGTCCAAATTAATGAAATTGGTCAATCATTGATGAAAATCCATATCCAAACTCTTGGAACTCCTTGATTTGTTCAGTTCATGTACCACTGCCTTGCAGTGGATCGAAGAACTCTTTCAACTTTTTTTTGCTGAGGTTCTTTATAAAAAATTATTTAAATGAGAATCAACTAATACTTTGCTCAGTTTCAAACCTTGAAACATTTTTCTTTCAAAAATTTTCTTGATTTCAAATATATACATTACCCATAAATCTATTGTAATAGACAAACAAATTGCGAGGGGATTAGATATATATCATCATGATAAGAAAATTTCTCACAATGCAATTTGGTCTATTCAAGCTAGCAGACCTGCCACTAGCTGTTTGATTCCTTGCATGTAGTACCGATTATGCGCCCTACATGGCACATTAAGAAGTCTACGAGTTATGTTATACCAGAATCAAATTATATCAATATTTTCAGGTGAAGTTCATCATATGACTGACTTTTCCGATCTACCACCGATGAGAACTATCGTTTGTTTTTTTCCTTTTCCACCATAATACATGACAATATAGCAAACTTATTTTCTACCTAAAGCACCATAGTATATTATAATATTTATTTTATATTATCGTAATTTTATTCATACTAGAAATATACTGTTAACTTCAGATTTTCTATAGCGGTCAAACCCCGGTGTACCTTGTTTGAGTACAGAAATGTATGTAATGATAGTTTACCTATCACTTTTTCTTATAAATCTATACCTAACCTTAGAAATGTATCTTCAAATATCATAAAACTTTTTCATACTGAACAAAATTTCAAAATATGCCAAGGAAATATTAAAACTATAAAGAATTTGAACACAACCTCTAGCTAAAATCTAATACTTTTTTCCCTTGTATAATAAATAACTATTGTCAAAAACTATCGACCTATGCCACTCTTGATAAAGAAATAATAAAAGAGATCCAATAAATTTCAGAATTTCATTCACAGAGGTGCTTAGTAGAACTCAAGTTACGCAGCTCGACAATGTCAGTCAACACGTCAATTTTCAATGTTTACATTTTGAAAAAAATTGAAATCATTAAAGTCCATGAATTAAATCTCTCAACAAAATACGCGCAACAGATTTCACAGGTCAATTTAATTTTTTGAATCAGTATAAACACCAGGGTTTGTATGCATCTGTCTATCTGCCTTTATAAGAATTTCATTTAAAATAAGTGTGTATAGTGGCATCTATTGGTTTATAGATGAAAGCTATTTACAGATTCCCTCTCATAAGTAGGATGAGATAAAGAATTTTTGTAATCTCCTTAGAGTGGAAGTAATCACAGAAATCCATAGTATTGAATAATTATACAGAAGCTGCTCTAGTGAGCAGAAGCCAAAGTTCTATCAATGACAAAGTCAAATTTGGGAAATGGAAAAATATGAAGCAACAACTTATTTAATGTTTAACCATATAACTTATATGTAACTCGTTTTTATGAATTCATAGTTTTTTGAACTCTGTTATCAAATGTCTTAAAAAACGGATATGGAACACAGTAACATGTTATATTAATCGTATTTTATTTTTGTTCCAATATTATTAATATTTAAAATTTTCATAAAACGTGCCATAGGTAATAAACTAAGACTCAGCATAAAAATAACGATATATTATTATAGGAGTCATTAAACAAATAGAATCAACTTGTAAACTTTTCTCACATTCCAACTTCATTGCTCTTCAATGAAGTTGATTATCCCCAGAGAAGTGTTATTAGATATTATAACAAAATAATGACTTGACATGTCAGCTTTGCGTTCCTTTGATGGGTTCCATCCAAGCGTTCAATAATTCTTGAATAAATATAGGAGGTGATTTTACTGAAGTGGAGATACTCTCTATCGACAGTAATTAGCTGCATGGACAGAAAAGCCTGTAACCTATAGTTCTGTGGTTCAAATCATTGAAATCGATTTGTCTGTATAATAATATTATTATATTTGATGGAATCGGCCGATACTTGATGAAAATCCATAACGTATTCAAGGAAACACTTTATAGTATGTTATGAGTAACAAGGTACTTCTTTTCATGAAATTAGATTTGGAATTTTTAAAATACCATGAAAATGACATATTTGAAGAAAAACAGTGGCATACAATAATTTTCACAATGAATACAAGGAGTTGGTTAAATATTATATTGAAGGTGAAAAACCTCTCGTTGACTCTGCTTTGAGCAATGATTCAAATAATGTATGGAACATAATGAAATCGAAAAATAAAGGACATCCAACCAGAAGGATCGACTTCACCAGTACACCAATAAGTGACATCTTCGGGGGGCAACTAAAGTCAAGCATTCATCGCAACGGGGACCACATTACTGAGAATATCCAGCCTTTCCTCACCCTGCCACTCAACATTAAGAAAGTGAAGACTGTCAGAGAAGTGCTTAAGGTACTCGTCTCCAAGAATAGTTTAGAAGGGCTGACTTTGTCGAAAACAAACGAGAAGGTCGAAGCGTGAAAGCAAATTATGCTTTGCAAACTTCCCGTTATCCTCATTTTGCATTTGAAGTATTTCGAATACAGTCACGACCGTTGCACGAAGTTTATCAAGGCTTTGGATTTTGAGTTCGAATAGAAGATTGATTCGACTTTGGTATCGCCGGAAACACGTTCTCCAACAGAGAAGCAATACAAGCTATCCGTCCGTCGTTTACCACGATGGCAAAAATGCCAACATTGGACACTACGTGACCGATGCCTTCCACGTCGGCTACAACTGCTGGATAAGGTCAAGACTGTGCAGGAAGATAATGTACTGAAACCCCACGGAATGTGAGTTCCTTATTTGCTGTTCTACAGGCAAAGCGATATGATCAGATCTAAATAACTTCCCCCTAGTGGGATGGAACTGCTGCTTTTACGTAGAGTTCAGCATCTGGAATCTTACGGAATTTCTCTTTTGAGTTTTTATCGAATTTGATTTTTTGTTGGTTTCAATGAATTTTTTATTTTTTCATTTTGTTGTAATAGATATGTACTATGTTGTTAAACTCCATTATTGTCAGACAATGAAAAAAGTATTGTAAATTCTTTATTAGAGACTAAAAATTTGTCAAATTTGGAATATATTTTCTATGACAATCAAAATGAATGAACCGCTAAAAAAAATTTAATAGTGAACTACTACTGAGAAAAAACTGGTTCCACATTTTTTACATAGAAATTCGGATGTTGGTTTCCACTTACTATTTGATTAAAATGAGAGGATAAATGTTGACTCAGTTACGTTTTTACAGGTAGTGTGTGCTTTGGGAATAACTAGCATCATGGTGAGTTTATGGGACAAATTCTCTGAATCTGGATGGCGCCCTTTCCGTGCAGGAGTCTTCATGACCTTCGGCCTTAGTGGTATTGTTCCGGCCATTCACTACGGAATTGTTGAAGGCTGGTTCAACTATGTCAGCCAAAAGTATCTTGGCTGGTTAGTACTGATGGGGGTCCTGTACATTGTTGGCGCATTATTCTATGCGTTAAGAGTACCTGAGCGGTGGTTTCCTGGCAAGTGTGATATTTGGTTCCACTCTCATCAGATATTCCATGTTTTTGTCCTTGGTGGGGCTCTAGTTCACTACCATGGCATTTCAGAAATGGCGATGCATCGAGTGACAATAGGTCAGTGTGAAATGTCAGACTCCCCCATCTACTGATGGTCAAAGAATTCCAGAACATGTCTTAATCCATTTTCGGAGGACTGGACATTTTGAAATTACTTCCAAATTTCACGTTTGATGAAAATTTGTATATTTTGATAGTGTTGTTGTTTATTTGAGAAATATTTTTCAACTCATCATCCAGAAAACTGAATATTTATTATTTATCTACTTATGAAAACTGGTCGTTTGCAGAATAAAAATGTGATCACTATTTTTTGCCTTCTCAAATTTTAACGTTTTTCACTTAAGTAATTTTTGAAATACAGGTTCAAAAAGTGAGAAACTTTTTATTAACTATTTACAGCTTTATTTCTAATTTTTACAATAAACAAAAATATTTCTCATCTTGATTCTTACTATTTTGATGGGAAAATTATGTAGTTTTTCAAAGTGTTCAGATCTTTACAAATATATTTTGAAACGTGCTTTCAGGTTTTAGCTACTCAGAGATCGAAAGGTTTCATATAAGTGAATAAAATGTCCAAAAATTTTTCATAATCGTCGGCTATGAAGAGGAACATTAACTCATTTTGCCAAGCTCATACTCTTATAAGAAAGAATCTTAAGAATCTATTGAAATGAGTGTGACATACTTTTTATAATATTTCTCATTCTACAGTTAATATCAATCAATAAAAAGTTTTCATAATCAGATCAACAAAGATTTTGTAAATGACCTTACATATTTTAGTGGTGTACTTTATCAAAAAGTAATTCTTGTAAGATACCAATAATTTTTTAATACAATTTCGGCTATTATGCTTATATTTTTGGACATTGTAAATTTCTGTATTAGAATTGATTGTTCGTTGTTGTACTAACACTTGGTGTCGATATGTATTCAAAAAAAATTGTGGAATTGACACAATCCTCAATATTCTGAAAGTGTAGTACAATTTTCGCTTTTTACTTCTTTATAAACTTCATTTTGGTTCCTTCTTTACAAACTTCTACCTCTTTTAGTTTAATCTTTTGCTTTGAAACCAAACAAACATGGAATCCTGGCATCTGAAGTAGATTCATCTACAAAGTTTCAAAATGACATAATGGATCCTGAAAAGTTTTTGTACTTTCAACTTAAATTCTGACAGTTTTTATTGATATATCCACGAATTTTCAAAATAATAGCCTAGATTTTGTGTGTTGTTTGGAGAAATATGAGTATTTTTTTTAAATATATGCTTAATATGCTATCCGAATATTAGGAACACTATCATAATCATAGAATTCTAAAAAAAATATTTTACTAACAAGAGAATTTGTAAAGGGTACAATTAAAAGTAAGTTATTCTCCGAAATATTAATTTGTTTCACCATTTTGAGATTATTATTTTGAAAATTTGTTTGGTTTTGACTCTGCTCAAATACATAGGACATGGAACTTACTAAAAAAAATATAATAATCAATAAACACTGATGAATCATCTACATTTTATCAGTAATGTTGTAAGTAAGAAAGGATTCATATATATTTTCGGAAATGAGTAACATGGAGTATTTATTGATCTCTGTGTATTTTCTTTCCTAAAAAATTCTTGTGCTTCATATAAATTCAAGAAGTTGAAACCAGAAAAGATTTTCAAAATGAGTTGTTCTCTTTCATCAATAATTTCGGAAAAATACAGGGCATACAGAAAGTCCAAGTTTGTCATTGATTCAAATCTTTAAAATAAGGTGAAGTGAAAATGAACTGGGTTCAAAAATAATATTTGAGAATTAGATTTTGATTTACCCTCAACATTTCCAATGAGAAAATGTATTATCTATAGTCTTTCTTCTAGGAAAATCGATTTAATTTTATTCCAAATGTTTTTTTTTGCTGGTAAATAGGTATGTGCTAAATCCATATTGATTCTGGGATGTGAGAAAATGTTTAACTAATAATGTTTTGTTTGGAGAATTTGGACCTTTTGTTTTGAACCCTGTATAATATTTCTGGCGGTTTGGTTCATAACCTTATCCGAAAGAAGTAATTGAATATTCAACATATTTTAGAATAAAATTAGAATATATTGATTTCAGTTTTCCCTTGTGATATTTCAGTAGGTATATTTTCTGTCTCGTGTACATTTTCTTCTAAGGGCTTCAGTGTAGATATATATCTGTTTTAAATTATGAAATGTATTGTTGAAAATAAAGAAAGAAATTGAATATTGTTATTTTTGATAGAATTAATTGAGCTGCATTGATAAAGTTGTGATCAAGCGAGAATTTTTACGAAAAAAAAATCTACGAATATCTACCTGAAATCATTCATGTGTGCCTAAAAATTAAATATAAATAGAAACTAGGTTTAGAGTTGGAATCTAGTCTACTCCATCTTTCAAAGATGCCAGCTTGGTTGCAGAATCGTGTTACACAGATGTGTCATACATAATTTCTTGACATATCCATATTTGAATGAAGTAGTATTCAACAGACTATCGAGTGAAATATTCAGAAGTACTTTGACAGAATATCTTATATTTCATCATAGGGAAGTATTTTCACAGAGTGGATTTGAAAAAAAATTATATTAACAATTCTTATGAGGTGAATATTGTTGACTTCAATCTTTCCCAAGAAACAGAAAGAACTACAAACAAGGTCTATCCAATTTCACAAAACGAATAGATAGTATGTGCCATAGAACATTGAACTATACTATAATTTCAAAATAGTGGGCACCACTAAATTCCCAGAAATGACTAGTAGCAGTAGTAGTTTTTAGTAGTTCATTAATCACTAAATTACATGTATCTATAAAAGCATACAATAGAAAAAATTGGCGATTAATATAGATATAAGGAAATGTTTGTCAAAACGAGTCTTATTATTGAATTTTTATCAGAGGAAACAGGTATCGATGATTCACTTGAGTTTTTGGAAAACTTGTCTGCGAACCATCAATATCGAAATTCTTTCCTTTGAAGTGAAATATAATGTATTTTAAGTTACTTGGGCAAAACATTTCAGTGCTTATATTTGTAAATAGTATTAACAATATCAATATATTTTCCTAAAAAGTAGTGAATAATATTCTTAGTATACTACAAAAAAGATATATTGAATATAAAATCTCTAAACGTGTACATAATGTAAAACATATAAAACGTAAAAATGTAAATGTGTAAACCCATAAAAATATGAATGTTAACAATATAAAATACAAACTGAAAATGCTAGATAGGGATGAAAACTATATATGAAAATTGAGGTAGGGATGAAAAATATATATGAAAATTGAAACATTAATTCAGTAGAATTTGTTTATAGTAATGTTATATTTTAATTTTTGAGCCATTTGATCACTGAAGCAAAATTGAATAATTTGGGTCCAATGTATATAATTGATCTTTGTCCAATAGCTTTGTTCATTTTCGGTATATCTAGGTTAGTCGCTTTGAGTCGGGTGTCATATCCATGTTGATGATTTTTGAACTTATTTCTGTTGTGAAATATAAATAATAATAAGCGTTTGGGGTGACCATATTACACACGCATATTCGAGTTTTGAACGAATGTAAGAATTAAAAAGTACTTTATAAGTCTTAAAGGTAAATTCATGACAAGTCCTGAGGATGAATCCAAGCCGTCTGAAACATTCCGCTTGCAGTCTTTCAATATGTTCGTTGAAGTTTGAAGTAAACACTACACCTAGATTCTTGATTTCATTGACTCTCTCGATAGGAATATTATCAATGTTATAGAGTCTCTTGAAAGGGTTTCTTTTCCTGGTAAAAGTTATTATTCTACATTTGGATACATTCAAAGCCAGGTCATTATCCTTACAGAAAGCAGATATGGAGATAATGTCATTTTGTATGAAATCAGTATCTTCAAATGATTTGATGGATCTGTAAATTTTCAAGTCATCAGTGTTCGAAAAACATACAAAAGGATCTTTTACAAAGATAGTCTATATGTATTTTCCTATTAAGATTATGGTCAATGTGTATTCCGAGATATTTTACTGAACTGGATTTTTTCAAAGGTATGTTCTTATTTCTGCTAGTTAGATGAATATTGATGTTTTGTGCAACCATGACTGTTACTACAAAATGAAATGTAAGATGTTTTATCAATATTTATTGTCAGTAAACTATAATTAAACCAATTTACCATAGTGTCAATATCGTTTCTTGTATGAGACATTACATCTTCCTAGGTTGCTCCATCAATTATAAGTACTGTATCATCAGCATATGAGACCACTTTTTCAGAAATATCAATGGATAACATATAATTCAAATATAATATAAATAGGATTGGCCCTAAAACAGTGCCCTGGGGAACTCCGTATTTATTTTCTAATTTGTCGTTCAGTACACCGTCTATTTTAACCATTTGTACTCTTTCATTGAGGTAGTTTCTGATTAGATCATTTGCCAGACCTCTGATACCAAAATTATTCAATTTCAACAGCAATTTTTCGTGACTAATGATATCGAAGGCCTTGGCCAAATCGATAAATACTCCCAGGCATGGTCGTTTTTTATCTAATCATATATTTGTGTGACTAAGTTGACTATAGCATCAGAGGCTGATCTTCCATTTTGAAAACCAAATTGGAAATCTGAAATTATATGATGTCTCTCTGTGAAAGTCATTAAACGGTTTTTGAGGATTTTTTTTTAATATTTTTACCAGCTTGGATATTATGCTTATTGAACGGTGATTGCTTACTTTGTTTTTTTGCCTGACAAATACAGGTTTAACAATTGTTATTTTGAAGTTCGAGGGCATATGTCAGTGGCAAAAATAGCGTTTATCAAAATACATAAAATAAATACATAAATGCACTGCTCCAAGATAAATAAACTTACTATTGTTAAAAGTCTGAAGTGGGAAAATATATTTCTACATGAGTATGTACAGGGTACCCTAGCAATGAGTCGCAGAATCTTTTTTTGTACCGAGAAAACATCTTGTGCTAGTGTGGATCCACCCCAAAGGAGGATCCCATATCGTATTCTTGAAGCCACATGATCATGATATAACATGAGTAATTGTTCACATGTGAGTACTTCTCTGAGCTGTCTAAACACAAAACAAAGAGAATTTAACTTTCCAATCAGATTATTACAATGAGATTTCCAGTTTCCACAATCATCAATTGTGATGCCTGAAAATGTTGCTTTGTCAGTGTAACTTAATTTTTTATTGCCAACACTAACTGTTATATTAGAAATATTTTTCTGAACGTGATGATACCTCATAATATGTGTTTTCTCAGTATTAAAGAAAAGTGAGTTTGCGCTACACCATGAAGTTATGTTACTCAATAATCGCTCACACTCCTCAGCAATAATATCATCTGCTTTATTCGAGGTCAGCGTAAAAAACAAAGTGTGCATCTTTAGCTAAAGTGTCAATTTCGTTGATATAAAAAAGGAACAGAATGGGCCCAAGTACTGAGCCTTGGGAAACTCCCATATTTATATCAAGACTGTTTGAGTCAGCCGTTCTAGACTGTTCGTCATTAGTCTCAACACTGACATATTGTTGACGATTACTCACAAAAGACATTATCCAATCAAGAGCAACACCTTGGATGCCATAGGAATATAGTTTAGAAAATACAATATCATGCCGAACGCAGTCAAACGCCCTGCTGAAATCACAAAAGATTCCAACAAGGCATTCCCCGGCCTCCAAAAAATTAATAACCTTTCAGTAAAATGCTAAGGTGACTCTGTTAGTCGACTTCATTTGACAAAATCCATGTTGATTTACAGAGATCAGAGCATTACTCTCAGTAAATTTCATCAGTCATTCCATAAAAGCATACTCAAAAATTTTTAAAAAGCTAGAAGGCACGGTAACGGGTCTGTAATTTTCCATTAATAGTTTATTTGACTTTTTATTGATTGGTACGACTTTGCCAAGTTTCAGATTGCTTGGAAAATACCCTGTCAGAAATGAAATATTTATCAGGTAAGTTAATGGTTCGATGATTTAACTGAGTGACTTCTTGATAATGAACATTGGGATGTCATCAGGCCCTGAAGAAGAGTTATTCTTCAATTTTCTTTGAAGAAGAGATAATAATTCATCACAAACAAAAGGATTAAGAAATATTGACCTTTGGTGAATTGATGGAAAATTGAGATTTGTGTTTATAGCATATGCTATATGCTATATTCCACTTCACATATGTGAAGTGGAAATGTTTTCAATAACTTTTAAAGGAGCTTTAATAAAAAAATTGAATAAGGATGCTACTATCTTGGGATCTTTCTCAATGGTGTCTTCATGTACTATTTTTATTTTAGTTGATTGAAAATTTGCAGTGGATAACTCAGTTATCACTTTCCAAATCATTTTTGAGTTATTATCATCGTTGAATATTCTGTTTTGGTAATATTCTTTCTTTGATCTCTGAACTATGTTTTCATGTTGTTTTTTAGCCAAATAGTACAGTTTAGTTAACTTCAATTTTGAACAATTACTTCACAGGTAATCCTTTTTTTTGTTTTTATAATTTTTTTTAACTGGGAATAATATTTATTGCCACTAATTCTAGCATTTTATAATCGACAGATATAGATAGGTAAGTGTTGGGTTTGTTCCGTTTTTTCTTGTGACGCATTGAAATTAATGATTATATGATAATGATCTGTTATTTTTGACTCAATTATCATGGCTTTCACCTCATTAACTTGAATAAAATAATTTTACATGAATATATGATCAATACATGTCTTGACGTTTTTCCCTCAATCTGTCTTTTGCAGTGGCGTACGGAAATCATACCAAACAGATGAGGAAAAATCAATTTCGAGTGTATTGCTAGTATTTGAAAACATTCAGTAGAATCTCAGTAATCCGCTAGGTACTTCAATAGACGGATACGTCCAATAATCCGGCACNAAATGGAATTTCCTACGAATAACATATTTGGTGCAATCATCAAGCTGAATTTGTTTTTTACCTCTAGTTTCGATGTCTTTAGATACATTAACACATTTATCTTCATTTTTTTTTAAGATTTCAATAATTCTGTGAAGACTTTTCTCGGAATCTGCAGTCATCCCTGTTCAGTGTATTGTGTAGATCTCTTAGCGCTGGATTGTCGTGCGCTCGAATTCTGTCAAACGTGTCCTCGGCGTGTTTTCTCATGTATGTGTCTACGTAGTGTATGTTCAGGTCTAGATCCCGGAATATGTACC